CAGTGCCGAGACATGGATTATCAGTTGTCAGCTGTGATTAAATGCTGCTGGTTACAAGCTGTCAGGTATTAGGGATTTGTGTAGGTGGTAAGCAACATCCTGCCAATTATTAAAACTGGCAGGCGGGGTGAAATACCATGAATGTTTTATTCTTATTTCTTAACAAAATTAAAATATTTGCATCAGCAAGTATTTAAAAAAGTGTCTCTGTTTGCTGTTTAGTTTTGCAGTGCAAGGGGAATTTATATGGGGAGCAGAAATGCAAAAAGGTTATCTGCTCTAGTTCTCAAGAACATTTGGGATATCTGTATATACAGACAGAAGTGATGTTTGTGTTAGCGGCAGATCAGTGACAGGCAAACTCAACAATTGAGCACCTAAACATGCAGCGTATGCATGCTCGGCTGCATATCGCCAAAGCTGCCACTGATCCTGGGATCATAATAACTCACATGCCTCTCACTCTGTTATGGAAATCTCACATCTGATAGAAACCTTTCTTTGTGGTTCCTACACCGCCGATGAATCCAATACACATTCTGAACCCTTTGATGTCCTTTGAATATTGCGGATGGATTCCGAGCTTATCTCTAGGAAGCTTTCCATTCCTCACGGCTGAGGGAAAGGACTCTAAATCATTCTTAAATCAAACACTTTGTAATGTATAATGCCTTTCATTAATGTGGCTCTGATGCAAGGATGCACTGAACCTTTGGTGGGGAATCCTCAAATGGGTTGAGTAGGAGACAGGAGGAGAGAGGCATGGCTGCGGACATAAATTCTCGCTCAAAGACATTAACAGCTGCAGCCGACTGGTGCCTGTCGCAAGGAACGGCTGAGGAGGCCTATGAATCACCGAATTAAAGGGTTTTTTGAGTTTACACATGGCTGCGTGTCAGACCACACCGGATATTAAAGGACAAAGGTGTCTCTGTTTGTTGCCTTCAAAGGGAAGTAAGAGAATGTGCAGTACACAGAGGAATGTATGCACATTTGTATTGTAAAAGTGGGATGTTACTCAAACTCACTAAATTGTAACCAAATTATCCATAAAATGAACAAAAACAAACAAACAAAAAACAAAAACAGAAGGAACTCAGATTGAAGAATGACATTTAGAGCCATATGAAAAAGAAAGGTTTTCATAGGAGTCTATTCAGTACTGTGAAAATCTAAGCACATCTAATAAATCAGCAACCTATACCTATAACCTATAACTCTTAGATAGCAGTAACTTAAATGAATCATTTTCTGTAAGTCTTTCACTTTGTTATAGAGGAATTTTGGCCTACAGTTCATTGAGGTTTGTGGACCTTTTTTCATGCACAGCTCTCTTCAGGTCACACGACACCATTTCAGTCAGGTTGAAATCTGGAATTTTGTGTGATCCAATTTATGGTGTCTTCTTCTTTTTTAATCAAACTGCTGCACTGACTTCTTTTTTAATTAAATGTTTTCTTTTGTAATCATTTTATTATTTTTCTGTATATTTCTAATATTTTTTCTTCTTATGTATTTCTCGCATGTATTATTTTAAGACAGGCGGGGATTATGGTTCCTCCCCCCTGTCTTTATCGTTAACTGTCTAGTCCAGTTTTACTTGGGCGTCACTTAACCTATTAACCAATAGCAACCTGTTATATGTCAGCTGGTTTATCTATGAAGGTGTGATTGGTTAATTAAATTTTTTTCTGTTTCTTGTCTTTTATTTACACACAAATTGTACTTTGTGTATCCCTGATGAAGGCCAGAAGCTGAAACGAGTTGGTCAGTTAATAAAGTTGTTCCTCTTTCATTCTAAGAGTTGTTAGAGTTCCTGCGTTGTGAGTTTTTCATCCTCTCCATGCACCTTGGAAGTAGGTAAAGCTGTGCCAGAAATTTTTGCTGCGATATGATCCAATTTCAGCCAAGCTGGCTTCATATTTGATTCTAGAATAATTTGTTATACAAGTAGTTCACAGTTGACTGAATGACTGCAAGGTGCCCAGGTCCTGTGTCCTGTAAAACAAGCCCAAATCATCAACCCTCCACCACCTTTTGAGAGAATGACTATATGAAGCTTGTGCTGGAGAAGATTTAGATGTCTTTATGTCAATATGCTATGTTTAGTTGTAGATTACAGCCAAACAGCTACACTTTTGTCTGTTTGGAGTTCTTTTTGGAGAGTAGAGGTTTTAGCCTGGAAACATTTCCAAGAAGTGTTTTATTTAATCTTTTTTTTATAATTAACTTGCCTGTAGATTCTGAAATCTCTCGAGGTGTTTGCAGTTCCTCTGCGTACTGCACAGCCTGACCTTGGGTCGACTGTGTATGATGAGGAACAACCATCGCTTCTCTAAGATAGTTGCTGATGCCTTTCTTCCTTAACATTGTGTTAACACACACACTTGACTGCTCCAGACTAGCAAACTGACAAAACTTCCTCTTTCATAGAGGTGCTCACACGCTCTGATAATCAGTTAATCAAATGCACTTGATTAGCAGCACCTGGCTGCTACTT